CCCGCACCTGTGCAACAAACTGCCGGTGGTTTTACTGATTTTATGACAAACGGCCCTCACGCCTTTGTTTTCAAACCCCCTCGTTTTGGAAGCAGCAGGGAGCGCGAGGAAGGATGCGAGATGGGGCGACAGGAAAGCCAGAGTCCTCCTGGCTCGGGGGCAGAAATTGAAACAGCTTTAAGAGCCGAGTGGGCCTGAAGGTGCTGAGCAGCCGCGTTTGCTTTGCAGTGGAAGATTTTTATATTTAAGACACGTGACACAGCGTGGATTTTGTCTTTAGTTTAATCGATAGAGAGCTTTCTGGAGACGTTCCATCTCTCTAGGGCTTCGGTTCGGTTTCGCTGGTTTGTGTTTTAACACCATCTCCTTCGGCGCTCACCTTTACGAAACATCGTGCTCTGCTGCCGCCGGTTCTTTCCTGCAATCTTGAACACACAAATCAGAAACGTTCTAATTGCCAGTATTGATCAGAAACGCACTTTTCTTTTTTTTTTGGTAAAAAAACCCCAAACAACGTAACTAAATCACAACCCAGCCAAACTCGTGCTATTCAAACCACAAACTTGCACGAAAATACAGCTTCTTGATTAAGTGTATGAAGGGAAACTGAGGCACGGAGCTGTGCTCCTTTAGCACAGCCGAGGGGGAAGCTCTGTTTTGAGAAAGACAGGGGAGGGACTGGAAGCAAGCTAAGAGGAGAGCAAGGAAAATCATCTAAAAAAAAATTGAATAAAAATTACCTGTGAGGGAAGAGGAAAGAACAAGCACTATTTAGTCTTGAGAAAGCAGCCAAGATCTCATATTAACCTTCAAGTATATTACAGGGAAAGAATTACTGGGTTTGTGTTACAGGAAGGGAGAGAATTTCTTTTTTCCAAATATGTAAGCTGAGGAGTTAAGCACAGGCACAGACTAGAGGGACTGTAGAGGGACTGTGAAATCTCCCTCAATGGCATTTTTTAAGAATAAACTGGAAAAACTGGGGAGCGGATCCTGCTGTGAGGTGGAGGTGGAGAAGGTGACCTCTTAAATGTCCACTGAACATCAAGCTCAGGGTAAACAGTAGCTCCAAAATCAGTTTTCCCTGGCAGCTGGCACAGCAAGCGCCTGCAGAAGGGAGGATGTTTACTCTCCGAGGACGGCATCAAACATTTGGGTAGAAACTATCTTTTGAGCCCAAGGGAAAATATTCCGGTGTGCCTTTGGGAACACTGCCAGGGGACAGAGGATAAGGGATTTCCAAGATATTGCCACCAGCTGAAAGCGCACCCAGCTGCCAGCGAGCCCGTGTTGCTGCAGGACTAGCAGATAATCCACAGATCCCCCAAATCAGTTGTCGTCCACCACGGAAGCAAGCAGCAACAGGATATCTCACAACAGGATATCCCAACTGAAGAAACTCTTCGATGTAGCCCTGCTAAACTTGAGTTGAAAGCTTTCTGCTCTGTGGCCACATATCCCGGACCCAAGGGAGGAGCTTATTTGGGAGCAGGGTTTGCCCGGGAGCACCCGGCCCCAGGCTCTGCCGAGGGGCAGCAGCTGAGCTGGGTCCAGGAGAAGAGATCGACAAGGGCTGAACATCGCAGTAACTGCTCCCTGTCCCACCTCCGCTTCCACCTTCCATGGTGACAGTGAAGCTGAGGGACCAACGGGGACATCAAAGAGGCCTTCCTTTTCCTAGAGGAGGTTTTGAAGTTACTTCCTGAGCCCCGAGCTGAAGGTGCTTTTCCATTTCTGTAAAGCCAAAGCGCTGTGAGCCCAGCCGGCGCTGTGCCCTCTAGTGGAACTCTCCAGGTTTTGAAGGGGTCGTCGTCTTTTAAATGATTTGTTCATGGAAGGCATGTGGCATTTGGTTAACTTATTCTGCAAAGTAATTGTTAGAAAAGAGGCGACACTAGGGTATGAAAAATTAAAAAGACCACTCATGACACCCGAACAGTAATTATTTGAATTTTAAGGGAAATGTGCCCAGGAATGCAGAAGATATTTCTGATAGAGTATTTCTGAAGAGTGCGTGCTCTTGTGGAAGGAGAAATACGAGAAATTAAATCAGTTATATGCTAATCCTAGGGTCAGTTAGAGACAAAACCATCATGTGAAATGCTACAAGCAAACACAAGCAGCTAAACAATCGCCCAAGGGCAAAGAGATCTGTGCATTTCTTACCGTGCCTGCCCGTGCAGGCAGCCGGTATTTCGAGTATGTTTTTCTCCCTTAAATATCTTCTGATCTCACCTGCTGTGCATGGCGCTATCACCGAGGCTTCGCTAAAGGCAACTCTCACTGGTGAAAACTTGGGGAGAGCAGAGTCCTTAGAGGAACGGGCGACACAGACAGTCCGAGGCCCTCAGAAGCGCTCTCGGCTCTGGGAGCAGAGGCTCACCAACACGACGAGCCAACACGAGGTCATTTCTGAAGTCAGCAGCAGCGTATTCTGCCCGCCCTGTCTCAACACGTTAAACGGGGAAGAACAGAGACTGTTGAAATCTGAGTTACAGCCTGATGATGTGCGAGTAGCCGCAAACACAATGTCTGCTTTCAGAGCACGCTCTGGATGGAAATGGTCTTTGCGGCAAAGGATGAACTTTCCTGCCCCTAAATCTGAGTTGTCTGCTGTGGCTTGGAGGCAGCGACCAGACCAAGAATAACCCTTGTACTTCCTTCTTCTAACAGCTAAAAACTTTTTCACCTAAAGGCCTCTGCTAGTGAGTTGTTTCACCATCAATTTACGCTGACAAACAGAACTGTCCCTATGAAGTATAAATATGCATTCTTTTCCTGCTCAAAATGCACATTAAGAAAGTGACTGAGCAGCTCTCTAAATCACTGGTTTTCACCCCGGTGCATGGAAAGCCTCGCAGCGTTTGCCGGCTGCCTAGATGAAGCCAGAGAAATGAGCCTGTTTTCAGATCACACACGCTGCTTTCAAAGTTGAAGAGGTCCATGAATTGATGTTGAAAAGAAACAAAACCTCACTTTAAGTGCCACGGATCTGCGTCACCACAAAACTGCTGTATTGGCTACAAAAAGTTACCTTCACAGTTGCTTCTAGGAACGATTAGCTTAGAATCAATACATCACAAAGAGCAGCTCAAGAACTACAGCAGTGTTAGAGGTGATGAGCAACAACCACCTGGGGACAAATAAAAGGCTCATCAAAGCCAGCATCCCAGCAGGCACCGACTGATGCCCCAGGAATCGGCACGGGAAGAGAGGCGAACACCCAGCACGCCTTCCCTGGGACACACATTTAAACAAGATGAAGACGCCAAACCCAAACCAGGAGTCCAGTCTAAAGAAGGTAACACAGAAAAACCCAAACCGTATCATTCGCTTGGTTTATTTTGTACATCAGGTTTATAAATGACTCCCATCAGGACAAGATCTTCTGTGAAAGTGATCCGAGGAAGAGCACTTGGCAGGCTGGGCAGCGCAGCTAGATTTGTTTACAACCAAGAGGTCACAACTGCTCGTGGGAGAGAGAGAGAAGGGGGATGTGTCCCCCCCACAACCTGTTGCAGAATCTGTATTGGGCATTTCAAGTTCACCTCATAGCAGGGTCTCAGCGGACGGATGTCTCCCAAACACTCTAATCCAGCACTAAATTTCCTACAATAAACACAAAGTAGTCATATTAAGCAGCGCTTCCTGGAAAATGCTACAGCAGCCAACGCTACCGACAGATTTCAAAAGCCTCCAAGTATCCAGGGCAGACGTTTCTGCTACCGAAGCCGACACGGGCGCAGCAGAACGCAGGCACACCGGCCTGACGTCTCTTCACAAACGTCTCTTTCTCTGCTCCTCTTTTCAGATGATTTAGGCACAATGACATGTCAAAGCTCTTGCTTCAAAACCCAGAGCGTACACTGTGGGCTCAGGAATGTATCCCTGCTCCTGCTAACGGCTAAGACAATTTTTAAGTAAAGAAAGCCCCTTCCAGGCAATTTAAATGCCCTCACATAACTTGAGAGTTTGTCCACAAACATCTACAGTCACCTAGTGTGCTACAAGCGCAGCTGACTTTCCTGAAAGTTTCTTTCAACCTTTGGTTACACAAAGGTTCTGTGGGATACACCTTTTGAAAACAAGGAAGACACAGTAAATTATTTCAACTGCAACATGTATCCCTGGAAAAAGAGACCTAGGGGAGTACTAATGATTTGCTCTGTGACTTCCAGACTCACTGATTTCCCTATAAAACACCATGAAGCTTGAAGATGAGTATCATTCATTTCTCAAAATTTAAATGTAACTGCTATTCTGACCAGAAGCAATAAGTACTGAGATGTAGTTTTCTCTGACCTGTTCCCATTAGCATCCTTTAATGCAAGGCAAAAACCTTCCAAACTCCATTCCATCTGTGGCAAGGAATAAAAAAGTTCTAAGCCTGCCTACTACACAAACAGGCCTTTAGAAGCCCAACAGAAGGCATCACCTCATTGCTGCTCCAGCTTTACGGATGGTCAGTCTTACAGAACATTCAGAATAGCACATTTCATATAGAATTAGAGAAGAAAAAAAAAAGAGAAAGTAAATTTTAAAGTAATTTCTAGTGCACCGTAACCAGCTCTACACATTCAACTTACTTTTAGCAATGGTTACAAGGAACAGAAAGGAGTCTGAATTTGCCTAGCAACTAAACTAGTCATGAGCCTGAAGCCATTCGACTTAGGAACAGAAGTAAACAGATTGTTAAAAGTTCCAAATGACCACAGAAAACTTGGTGTGACTTCTCAAGAACCACGTTACATGGTGAGGAACCCACTGTTTGTGAAATCATCACCTGAAAAACATATTAATATTTCGATCTTCTGGCACTCTGTGAAGTCCCTTATTTAAAAAAACAACAACAACAAAAACCCTCTGTACAATCAAATTGAGCATTTTTGTTCTGGACCAACAATGTAACCGTGCCCTGGACAAACAGGACACATTAACTGTCACATCACTGCAACACTGCTACTTCAGTTAAGAGACAAAACTTACCATTAGAGGCAAGCTCAGTCTTCAGTCTTATACTTGCCACCGATGTAGGGAACATACTGAAGGACCAGCTTCCAGTCTGTGGCCCATATTACACCAGCACCAGCTACACCACCCCACGTAATAAGGGTGGGAGTCCTAAAAAGAGACATAACATGTGCAAGCAAACATTAATTTTCCACCGTGAAAGGTGTAGCAAATGCTCATCACTAAGGCAGGAATCTTGAAAGAATCTCACACACACTGAAAAGTATGAGTCCCCAGGCTGGGCAAGATATTTTACAGGGAAAGGCTGACATACTTTTATTTAAAGAGGGAACTACTGAATTATAGAAAGACAGGCTTATATGACCATTCTACTGCTGCAGCTTGTGTCCGTTCATTCTGGGCCTTGCAAGGGTCATTCTTCCTCAGGCACCCCTGCAAAGTGCTGAAGGCAAAGAGGATGACGCGAAGCACATCGGCCCAGGCAAGGAGACACCGAATGCAGAGGGCCGGCAGCCGAGGCACTCGGTGCAGCTGCGGAGGGGCAAGGTGCTGCCTCAGAACTCGCTCGCTGCAAGGGGCAGCCAGGCCTCAAGGAGATTTAACTACCTAGTGCGAGAGCCACCGCTTGGTTAATTTTGTCACCCAGTGGCACTGCAAGAAACTGTGAACATGGATATATATATCTATATCTATATCTATATATCTAT